GGGGGGGGCGCCCGACTACCGTGGAGGGGGGGAATTGTAGGAGTAGGTGGATGATTTCATCCCCAGATGCAGCATCTCTGCTCCCAAATTGCCTCCTCTGTGGGTTGGGGAGCCACAGATGGGGGGGGCGGCGGAGGACGGGAGGACGGGAGCCTTCATCCGTCCTTAGGGATGCTAAAGGACAGGGGAGGACCAGCACCCCATGGACCAGCACCTCCACAGCACCCAGCCCACCCCCAGAGGACCCCATCCCTTAGCTAGGCTAGAAAACACCCTCCGGACAGGCAGCCCAGGGATGCTCCGGTTTCTCACTCTCCTCCTGAGCATTTGCCTAGAAACATCCCCCAGACCTGGAGTAAGGGCTGGGCACCCCATAAAACAATGCTGGGTGATGCTGCGGGAGCTCCCGCATGCAGTGAGGGTCCTTAAAAATTAATGAGGCAGCAGCTAAAATATAATGGGGCAGAACTTGAAGGGGGCTGGTAGGGCTCATGGGGAAAAGGCCAAGCTCTGCCACAGCAGGGACACGCAGACATCACCAGCCCGTGACAACAACAGTGCTGTGGCATGCAAAAAGAGCATCGGTTCTCATCTCACTTCCAACTGGGGGACACCCGTACTGGGGGTGCCATCTTTGCTGCAGTTTGGGCATCCTAAAAATAGATGGTACCTAAAATACAGGCGCTGGGAAATGCACGCTGGCTGAATCCGGGCCAGCACTGGAGCAGCACAGGGGTGGCACGAGGTCCAAGGGGGCACCCCAGGTGTGGGGAAGAGGCTGAAGAAACTGAGGCACAAAGGCCAGCAGCACAATGCAGATGTATGGCCCTTCTCACCCATAATTTCATCAAACTCCCCCCTCCTTTCCCTGCAGCGCATGGCCTGACTGTGCAGGGCAGCATCATCCTGGGGGATTTCACCCCAGCTGCATTTCCCTGGGCAGCACACAGCCTCCGCTGCCCCGCTCCCCACCCCGGATCCAGCCCAGCTGCTGGCCTTCAGGGACGAAAAGGGCTTTTTCTCTCCCTTATCCGTTTTTGCTGGCACTGTGCTGCTGCCACAGCTGCTGGGACAGTCAGAGTTGGCTGTAAACAGCCAGACGCTGCCCTCCTGAGTTGTGCTAGGCTGCCTGGGGCTGCCCCAGTCGAGTCCCCTGTGCCCCATTGGGGACAAAAGGGTTGTGCTGGGTGCCTAAAGCCCTGCTTGATCCCCCAGCCTGTCCCATGGGGGCTAAGGCAAACAGGGCTGAGCACAGTGCCAGCGCTCTAGGGGCTGCCTGGGTAAAGGATTAGAGCTGGCAAGGCTGGTGGGTACATTACCATTTCACATTATCACCCTTACTATGCTAGGATCAGTCTTATACACAGGCCAGGAATTAACACAGTCCCAGGGCTCTGGGGTGGGGAAACACCCTGGCATGACATCCACCATCTCCCTTTCCCAGGCTGCTGAGAGGGATCCCTCCTTCCCAGGAGTAGGCATTTTCTCCTCCTAGGAAACCTGGGGACCTCAGGGTCCTCATCATCCGCTGGAGCCCCTTTCCCCTCATCCCCAGGCAGGGCTGAGCATCACCCCAGCCCTCCCCAGCATGGCCAGGTCCTGTCTCAGGGCCCCTCCTCATTGCTTGCCTCCAAACATCCCCCCAGAGCAGCCCTCACCCCGCACACCAGCTATACTGCAGCAGGAACTTTTCCAAAACTCCCCCACCCTGGGCTGCCCCTCACCCCGTGTCATCCCTACCCTGTTAATTTAAATCCCCACCTCTCTCCAGCCCAGAGGTGGGCACACCCCAGGACAAGCAGGGAGTTCTCAGGAAGCACCCTATGAATAAGTAAAAGGTGCTGCAGGCCTTCACTGCTATTTTTTGAGCAAGCAGAGGAGCTGCCTGTCAAGCTCTGATTAGTTACAGATCCTTCATCGTTTGCTTAATGAGCAGCACTCATTGCAATGAGAGCTTTGCCTTTGACTTGACTGGCCTTCGCTTTTCTGCAGGGTGTGCAGAAGGACGCATCCTTGCACCCCACGTTCCCCTTCAAGCCCCCCTTTGCTCACGATCCGTACAGATGGGGCTATGGTGGGAAGAGCAACACGTTTCCTTGCCAGGGTCCCCCTGCCCTGCTGCAAGCCCCTCTTCTCTCCTGTCTGAAGGGACAGCTCTTGGTGGGAGGATGACTGGGGCATGCTCGACAGGCACCCACCCTGGCTGCCCATCCCAACCTTCCCAAAGCGACAGGAGTGGCTCCACTGCTCCCCGCTTTTCTTCGGGGGCTGCTCAGCACCATCCCACCCAGCCCCAGGGCGTGCTGGCTGCACTCACCCCATGCTTCCTGGTAGCAACCGGGGCAAGTTAGCCACACGGATGTGAATAAATAGAGCATAAATAGAGTTGTTAATGTGCCCGGCTGGAGTAAGTGAGGCTGTGAAACCAGGCTGAGCCCTTCCCAGCTGGAGAAATCAGAGAGAAACAATGTTTGATTTCTGATGATATTTAGGAGTCGGCTTTTTTGGTTTCATCTCTGTTTCCCCCTCAGGAGGGGGCCATGCTTTGCTTTCTCTTCTCTTCAGGAGCAGAAAAATTCCCTCTCTCGGTTTTCTTTCAGGGTGCCAAGGAGCGAGCTCTGGTCTCTGTAGGTTTTGGTTTAGGAAGAGCCAAGTGCTTCTTCAAACAACCTCCCAGCACGGTGCCTGTGGGCAGCTGGGAGCCGCTTGCTCTTACAGCCATGCTTCTGCCACCGCCGCCAAGCTTCCTGGCTGGGCTGGGGGTACCCCCGGCCTGGGGAGGGAGATGCTGGAAAAAACCCGAGGAACATAAGAGAAGGTTTGGGGCACTGCCTGGGGCTGGCACTGGGGCTTTCCCACGCCTCTCTGCAGGGTTGAAGCCTCACAGCACCTCAGGTGCCGGGAGCTGCCAGAACAGGTGCCGGCAGAGTGACGGCTGTGCCAGGCAGGGCACCGGGGACCAACGGCCCCTCAGTGCCACTTCCCTGGGCACCGAGCCCTGAGCTGGGCCAGGTCCTGCACCCCATTCCATGGCAAGAGGAAGCTCCATCGACCAGGCAGCCCTGGCCACCCTCGCTGGCGAGACAACGGCAAAGGCTTTGCAGCCTGACTCTCGTCTGCTCTCCCCAGAGCATCAGCGCTCAAACACAAGGTTGTCCTGACGTGACCCCGCAGTGCAACCCTCCGCATTCCCAAACCCACCCGGCTTGGCTTTACAGCAGCTGGCGCCTCTGCATGGCTCTTGTTAATTAATTCGGGAGGGATTTGCCGGCCTGGACACATGTGAGAAACAAGAAAATGCTATCTGGAGGGGTGGATGCGGGCAGGTGGCCAGCAGCAGGGCAGGCATGGGGGGACTCGCTGCCGGGGGTAAATGCACACAAGAAGTTCAGCCTGATACACAGGCAGGGAGATGTCATCGAGCCCCTCTTTAATTGCATTATTAACACACAGCTAGAAACAGCATCATGATTAAAACCAGCTACGTAAGGTGCAGGGTCGGATCATTACCCTGAGGGACTCACACCGGGGTGAGGCACTGCTGGGACATACTTGCAGCCCCCACTTACCACCCCCGAATTTACACCCTGGGCTCCACATGCCACAGATCATGGCACCAAGTGGGGCAGCTCCTGTTTTTTGGACTCAAGTTGTGATTTTGCACATGGCCACGGAAATGGGGAGGATTCCCCTGAAGCGGGAGCTGCAGCTATGGGGAAATCGGTGCGATTCCCCCTGCCTGGTCCCTCCCAGGGTGGTGGCAGAGTTGGTGATTTCCCCAGTTCTCCGGTCAAAATGCTTTGAGTCCCTTCAAAGCTGAGAACTGAAATATTTCATTTTCAAGACGTCAAAAACATAGCTCCTGTAGATTTTTATTTCTCCCCAGCAGGAGGTGGGAACAGCACAAATTTGAAACATTCAGTAACTTCCATCTGCAAATCCAAAGCCAGGTTCACCGCTGGCACACTGCAGTGTGTCCATCCATCCACCACTCCCCAGGTGACTGGGCACCGAACAGACAGCTGGACAGATGCTGTCAGCCCAAAACGCACACATGAAAGCCCTTGCAAGGTGCTTACCTACCTGGGGCTACCCTGAAATCCCGCTACTCCTGGGCTGGGCTGGTCTCCATGGTTGGGCCTTCTTGGGGCTCGTTATTACCTGATGTTTTACCAACTGAGGCACGGGGGGAATGTCCCCTGTGCCCGGCTGAGTCCCTGTGGATGGCATTAAGCCAAGCGAGCCCGGCTCAACACCCACCTGTCCTCCTCACTGGCAGATTGCTCAGGCTCATTAGCATTTGCTAATTAATGCAGAAGGCTAAGCCCTGCTGGTAGGACGGTGTCCCGTGTCCCACTGGGTGTGCGATGCTAGTTTAGGGTTCCCCCCTAACTATTCCCAAGCAGATGCTTTCTTAGCATCCCAGGCTAATTTGCCTGTAGAGAGCAATGGATGGCTGCTCCAAAATGCCTCCCTGAAGCACCCAGCAGGTGCCTGCACTGCCAAGCTGGAGCCCTGGGTAGGAGGGCCCCGATGCAGGGGAGGCTGTGCCCACAGTGAGCCTGGCTGTTAACTAAGGGTGCCAAGGCCCAGGATTATCAGCAGGGTGGAAATTCAGCATTTGAACACTCAAAATGAGAACAGAAGATGGAAGAGGTGTGAGGCTGGGAGCAAAGCTTGCAGCGTTTCCTTGAAGAAAAGCCCAGGGATGGGTGCTCGGTGTAGACACAATGGCTGGATCCTGACACCAGCTTTGTGTCTGGCTCCTGCATTCTCCAAGGCAGGGGCAAGGGGCCGGGCTGGGGACAGAGGACATATGTGGTTTATGGCCACTTTCCTGCTCTCAGCCTCCCAGGACCAGGTCACAGGAGCTGTGCTACTCACACCCTGTGAAAGGCATCTCCATGCTCTGGGGAAAGGGATGCTTGGGGTCCAGTGGGGCTGCGTGTGGGGATGGGGACAGCAGGGAGGTGGCGGGGCCCTGCCAGGCAGGAGGGATATGGGAATGTCACTGGGTTTGTCCTGCTGTGGTCAGGCCAGGCCTTCCTGGAGAGCCAGAAAATCCAGCCCAGGCTCCCTAATGGGGCTTGGATGGGTGACGCTGGGGAGCGGCCAAACCCCAGGCTGCAGCGCCAGTCACTGGGGAGGTGAGTGGAGCATCCCATAGCTTGTCCTTTGCTTTCCCCATGGCTGGGAATGGGAGCGGGTATTTATGTATTTGCCAAATAATGGTTTTAGGGTGGGGGGATTACATGCAGCGAATAGGGTCAGACTGGGAGGGAGCAACTTTTGGGAGAGGGGCAATAGGATGGGGGTGTTCATTTGCATTTAGGGAGCATCAGGGAGAGGGGTGAAGGCTTACCCCCTCACTCTGAGCCGCTTCGTGGCGGCAGTGGGTGGGCAGCTGCTGCAGGGAAGGGCTGAGGCTGCAGACAGTGAAGGGAAAAGGGTTAAAGCCTTTAGCAGGTTCCAGCACAGGTTACATTAATACCCGGGGTGCCTGGGAAGGTTGAAGGCTTCCCCAAAATACCACTGGGCTTTGGCTGGAGCTCAACAGGGCTGACTTCATCCTGCTGAAACGTATCATTATGGCCAGGCAGGGAATTTGCTGTGGGGTTCTGGGGGAGCCGGCTGTGGGGCGGAGCGTGATGAGCCCCCGGAGCCTGCGTTTCCTGCCTGCTGTTGCAGGACAAGAGCTCCTCGTCTTGATGACAAGCTGAAGAGACACTGTGGGTGCTGGGGAGGGGACCAACATGAGCCCCTGCCCCAAAGGATGGGTAAGGACCACCCCCACAGTCAGGCCTGGGGACGCAGCATCCCCCCATGTGCTCTTTGGCTTTCTGCTGCAGCCCCACTCCTTGGGAAACCAGCCCTGTTCCAAAACATCTTTCCAAAGAAAACCACTTTTGGCAGCCCTTAGGCAAGAGCAGGTCTCTGCTGACCTGCTCCAGCGCTGGCATCTGTTATGGCTGTCACTGTCCTCTCCTGCCAGCAGCCTGCTGTGTCCCCGCCAGCAAAAATCTGCCTCCCTGCACAAGAGTTAGGGACAGCGTTGGCTGCGCCTTTGGCTAGCATGGCCGCTCCCTGGTGGCCTCCTCTGCCTGCTTCTGCTTTGGCTCAGGAGGTTGGAGATGGGGGTTTGGAGGGATCCCGGCCCGAGCCGCCCCAGCAGCGGGGCCAGCAGCACACCCACAGCCCCGGCCTGGGAGCGTGCGGTGGGAACACGGGGCGACTCAGCCGTGGGGGCGACTCAGCCGCGGGGGTGCCGGCACCGCGTGGCAGAGGGGCCCGGTGACCCGTGGGGCTGCCCGTGGACGGAAAATCCCGGGCGCGGGGCTCAGCACCACT